GATTGGCTAACAAATTGGCCTGAAGCATTTGCAGTACCAGACAAGAAGGCCAGAACTGTGGCCGGGTTGATAATAAGTGAAATCTTCCCTAGGTATGGTGCCCCTGTGCAATTGGTAACAGATAATGGCACGGAGAATGTGAACAGCATCATGAGAGAAGTTTTGACAGGTTTGAATGTAGAGCACATAAAAACATCCCCATATCACCCCCAGGGAAATGCTAAAGGGAAAGGTTTCATAGAACCTTGGGAGATGTATTGGCCAAGTTGGTCAGAGAAAACATTGGAAATTGGGACTTGTATTTGACGCAGGCTCTGGCGGCCGAGGTTTACGATAAACGAAACCTCCAGATTTTCTCCTTATTTTTGTTGTTTGGCAGAGACGTGGTTCTGCCTGTAGATAACCTACTGAAGCCCTGAAGAAGGTATATGGGAGAAGATCATCATCAACTATTGCTGAACAGCAACATAAGATATTCGTACAGGCCAGAAGAAGAATAAAGAGGGCCCAGAAGAAAAGAAATGAGAGGGTGAATGCTGAAAGAAAGGTGGTGGAATTGAAGGTTGGAGACCCTGTCTACTATAAAATCCACCAGAGAGAGGGAAAACTGACCAGAGATGGGAACTGTACTACCGGATAGAGAGCAGACGGGCCCAGTATCATATGTAATATGGGATCAAGTGGCAGGACGAGCGAGGAGAGTTCATGCCAATGATCTGAAGAAGGCTGAAATAGCTAACCTGGAAATGAGCGAGCCGAGGCCTAAGAAGACAAGGAAAAGGAAGGTAACTCTGGTTGAACTGGAAGGAATGGAGACGGAGGAAGACCGAAGAAGATGAGGAGATAGGTCGACTTGACCAGATAAACGAAGCAGTCCGAGGACAGAGTTGGAACCCTCAGCGGGATTAGCGATGTTCAGTCGTCGACTGAATCAGTGCAGAGAAGACCCCGTGAGATCGCCATCACACCCCCATGTCCGAAGGAAAGGAAGAAAAGACGAAGAGGTCCAATCAAGCAGTCGAAGGCTCTAAAAGGAGGCACCCTGAACAAGACGAAGGGTCCAGCGAGGGGAGGAGGAGGATCAAATACCCCTTTCCCAGCTTAAGGAAAGGATAAAGAACAGGAGAAGTTTAGACATAGAGTCGAGAGGTATTGAAGACATTCAAGGCGAAGACACTAAACAGAAAGAAGAATCAGGGGATGGAGAAGAGGACAAAAAACCTCCTGGACGAGAATTAAACACAGAAAGAAGGTTAGAGGTTGAACAGGAATCACCTCAGAAGATGAGATCAGGGAGGGAGAGGAGCCCCAAATCTCAGTGGAACAAAAGGGCTGTGCAGAATAGAAGCATTTAGTGTCGACAGATAACGACACTGGCTCATCCAAAATCCTATTGGCTGACTATGGTAGATGTGAGTGGAGGGATGGAGTCGCGGGCTGCACCTCACAAGGGACGGAAGAAGATCATTGGCATTATTGATTGGCCACCAGTGGTGTCATGAAGTACGACCTTTAGAGTGGGCGCCACGCACACCTGACCAGACCATTCTGTCTGCTAGGGGTTAGTTAGAGGAGGGAAGAGCCGAACTTAGAAAAAGGTTATGAAATAATTGAGTGATGAGTCGAGCGAGACTAAGTGATTGTGAAGAATAACAACAAGAGAATTTGTTACCTTTCAGGAATGATAGCAAGGTACAAGGTGAAAGCAGACTGCATAGCATTAAATTCGGGGAGAACGAAATTCATGTTGCTATCAGCTGAAGAAGCTAGAAGGTGTAGAGATGATACCCTGGGGACTTGTACTGTTGAGCCCTATCTATAAAACTGGTAACCGCAGACTGTGCATACTAGAATTGTTTGAAGGAGGGGGAAGGAATCAAAAGAATCTGCCAAGTAGAGGTATTAAACAACTCGGCATTACCACAAGCTATCAGTGTTTTGACGGGGTGTGGGCAGTAGCCACACAGAAACATATCAGCCTGTCTAGGGTATGTGGGGAGAGTCCACAAGGACATTAAGAATAAGGCCACTGTTATCCCTGGTGACGCTACCCATGGATGTTCAGCGGTTGGGGTGTCCATCTCCTTGCCCCCTATTACCAGATGGAAGAAAGATATGAAGAAAAGATTCACTCATAGAGATGATTGGTAGAGGCTTAGTCAATTGTACAGAATTATGGGAGCCGATAGTGAAGAGATTCTCTAATGTTACCTTAAATAAGATGCCAGTATTAATGAAGCCAATAGAAAAGATCGATATGGATCACTTAAGAGATAAGTTAAGTGCGTTGGGAGACGAAGGTGTAGCTTGGGAAGACGATGAGCAGATCGCGATAAGTTGGTCAATAGTAATGGGTACATTCCTAGTTGTAGCCATCGGGGGTGTAATAATATGGAAGATTAAGAGTAAGAGAAGATTAGCGAACGACAGTCTAGTGAGCATGCAACAACTCGAGAGGGAGATGCCGAGCAGTGTTCCTTACTCAGACAGGACTGGCGAAGAAATTGCTGAAAGACCAATGGAGGAGGCTGGCGTGAGACCACCACGTGCGGCGGGAAAAACCTCCCACGGCAGAGAGGAAAAAACATTGACCAAGAAGAACAAACCCTAGTGAACACATCTGCACCTACAAACACACACGCACACATTACCTTGCATGTAAAACAAAAAGAAAATGAAAAGAACATTTCATTGCATGTAGAACAAAAGAAAATGAAAAGAACATTTCATTGCATGTAGAACAAAAGAAAATGGAAAGAACATTACCCTTGCATGTTAGAAAGTAGAATAGAATTGCATGAGACAAATGCATGGTGCATGTTAAAACATGTAATTGGTTTAGGTGTCATTTACGGGTAAATGACAAATCGGTTAGGGAGGATTGTGGCACCTTGCATTATTAGAAATATTCATAGAAATATGATTTAATTTTTTTCTTACTCGGTTACTAAACAGGTTGTTGATTTTTTTTTAAAACGGAAAATAACTGAGTTGAAAATAATTCACTAAGATTGTACTAGACGATCTTAAGGAAGAAGAAGGAAAGAAAAGAAAAAAAAAAGAAAAGAAAGAAGAAGAGAAAAAGAGTTGTATGATGCATGACCCAATTGAGGGTGGAGATAGGAGTCAGAAAGAGATTTAGGTCAGCGTCTTGGCCGATTTTCGAAAGACAATTGGAAGAATAGAATTATAAATAATAAGAAGAAAGAAAGGGAAAAAGACATGATATCAAAACGGGCCGTTGATGTAGACCAGATATCGTCAAAGCATCTGACCGACTTTTTGCGTGGAGAGACTCCTTATCAATTTGGTTTAGAACAATAGAAATGAAATTTTTAATCAGAGAAAAAGTGTCTTTGGGTTGAGGGGAGGACCGGTGGAACGATATACAGATCCTGACCTGTTAAGAATTGGACACCCACGTTAATAAAGTGGAGACATTTTCAAAGTAGATAATTAAGATTTTCGACTATCAGGAAAAACAAAGAGGTAAAAAAAGAGGGACAATTGCTTTTGGCTCACAGAGGGCGCCAAGAAGGCGGAAAAGATCCTTTCTGAAGTCAAGTCTAATTAGCGGCGGGCTGTTTGACAAAGTCCAGGTGAGAGAAAGCCAAGATTGTCATTTTAGCAGGTACGTGCAAAAAAAGGCAAAATTGATTTTTTTTTTTAAAACAAGAACGATGTAACCACGCCCGCAACAAGAGGAGAAAGGATGTTCGATCAATAACAATTGGTCGGAGACGGTCACGTGATCTGCGGAAGAAAAAGGAAAGAAATGCTCGATCAGGAACGATTGGTCGAAGACGGTCACGTGATCTGCGGAAGAGAAGGGAAAGAAATGCCCGATCAGGAACCATTGGTTAAAGGGTCACCTGACATACGAGAGACTAAGAGAGATGGATGCGCCGCCCCACCAAAGGTACTATGAGGAAGTAGGGGTGAAAACAATAGCGATAATGGAGAAGACAGAATTAATGCAGCTTTTGAATTATCGAGAAAACCCTGACGCCGACAGACCCACCCCAGTTTGTTGCGGCGTCAATAAAAGCAGGGCCCCAATCGACAAAAAATCAGTTCAGCCCCGGACGGCAGTGAGAAGAGACCACCAGACGACAGAGAGTTGCGGCTAAGTTGAAACAAGAAATCTTCCACCAAGTTGAAACAGGAAAAACTACCAGCCCAAGTAGACGAAGAAGAAGAAATACAACTCAAGTCGGAGAGAAGAATCAACTGCGAATGATCGATAGAAATTAGCCCCAGTGTCGAACTGAACCACACCCGACATACATACATGATTCTAGAAAAGTAGGTAATTCGACATTTTTCTATTGTGTGATAGAAGCTTGGTGCCATAGTCCACAGAGCGGGTCGGAAATGAGAACAATTTTGTTTTTTATGTAACGGACATTGAGATATAAAAAGGTTGTTACCCTTTTTATCAGCAATTTTGTTTAGTGTCGTGAGTTTTTGTTTTATTTGTGTTTTGCCACCCCCGTCGGACTCGACTTGTATCGGCCCAAATCCCCTGCTGGTCCTGTCTGTCTAAGATCTAAACACAGCGTGGGTAGACAGACCGGAGATCGATACAGTTGCTTTTAGTGACCAGGTATTGGAAGCGAGTCGGGAAAAAGGCGAGGCTGGTGATCATCTGACCAAAGGGTTGGAGCGGCACGCTTGGACCCAGGAGGAGCGACCAGGAGGAGCGACGTCACCGTTGGCGCCGTAACCAAAGGATCCGACACTGGGCCAGGTGTGTAACCGTCACAAGTGGTGCCGTGACCAACGGATCAACCCTGAGACAGCCACGTCACAATGTACCCGATTCCGCTTGGCATCTTTTCCGGACCATTAAGTACACGATTCCGCTTGGCATCTTTTTCGGACCATTTGTACTGATTCCGCTTGGCATCTTTTCCGGACCATTATATACCCGATTCCGCTTGGCATCTTTTCCGGACCATTATGTACCCGATTCCGCTGGGCATCTTTTCCAGACCATCATGTACCTGATTTTCGCTTGGCATCTTTTCCGGTCCATTATGTACCCGATTCCACTTGGCATCTTTTCCGGACCAATATGTACCCGATTTTCGCTTGGCATCTTTTCCGGACCATTAAGTATCCGATTTTCGCTTGACATCTTTTCCGGACCATTATGTACCCGATTTTCGCTTGGCATCTTTTCCGGACCGTTAAGTACCCGATTTTCGCTTGACATCCTTTCCGGACCATTATGTACCCGATTCCGCTTGGCATCTTTTCCGGACCATTATGTACCCGATTCCGCTTGGCATCTTTCCGAACCATTATGTGCCCGATTCTGCTTGGCATCTTTTCAGGACCATTATGTACCCGATTCCGCTTGGCATCTTTCCGGACCATTATGTACCCGATTCCGCTTGGCATCTTTTCCAGACCATTATGCACCCGATTCCGCTTGGCATCTTTTCCGGACCATTATGTACCCGATTTTCGCTTGGCATCTTTTCCGGACCGTTAAGTACCCGATTTTCGCTTGACATCCTTTCCGGACCATTATGTACCCGATTCCGCTTGGCATCTTTTCCGGACCATTAAGTACCTGATTTTCGCTTGGCATCCTTTCCGGACCATGATGTGCCCGATTCTGCTTGGCATCTTTTCAGGACCATTATGTACCCGATTCCGCTTGGCATCTTTCCGGACCATTATGTACCCGATTCCGCTTGGCATCTTTTCCAGACCATTATGCACCCGATTCCGCTTGGCATCTTTTCCGGACCATTAAGTACACGATTCCGCTTGGCATCTTTTCCGGACCATTATGTGCCCGATTCTGCTTGGCATCTTTTCAGGACCATTATGTACCCGATTCCGCTTGGCATCTTTCCGGACCATTATGTACCCGATTCCGCTTGGCATCTTTTCCAGACCATTATGCACCCGATTCTGCTTGGCATCTTTTCTGGACCATTATGTACCCGATTTTCGCTCGGCATCTTTTCCGGACCGTTAAGTACCCGATTTTCGCTTGACATCCTTTCCGGACCATTATGTACCCGATTCCGCTTGGCATCTTTTCCGGACCATTAAGTACCTGATTTTCGCTTGGCATCCTTTCCGGACTATGATGTGCCCGATTCTGCTTGGCATCTTTTCAGGACCATTATGTACCCGATTCCGCTTGGCGTCTTTCCGGACCATTATGTACCCGATTCCGCTTGACATCTTTTCCAGACCATTATGCACCCGATTCCGCTTGGCATCTTTTCCGGACCATTAAGTACCTGATTTTCGCTTGGCATCCTTTCCGGACTATGATGTGCCCGATTCTGCTTTGGCATCTTTCAGGACCATTATACCCTGATTCCGCTTGGCGTCTTTCCGGACCATTATGTACCCGATTCCGCTTGACATCTTTTCCAGACCATTATGCACCCGATTCCGCTTGGCATCTTTTCTGGACCATTAAGTACACGATTCCGCTTGGGCATCTTTTCCGGACCATTATGTACCCGATTCCGCTTGGCATCTTTTCCAGACCATTATGTACCCGATTCCGCTTGGCATCTTTTCCGGACCATTAAGTACACGATTCCGCTTGGCATCTTTTCCGGACCATTATGTACCCGTTTCCGCTTGGCATCTTTTCCGGACCATTATGTACCCGATTCCGCTTGGCATCTTTTCTGGTCCATTATGTACCCGATTTTCGCTTGGCATCTTTTCCGGTCCATTATGTACCCGATTCCGCTTGGCATCTTTTCCGGACCATTATGTACCCGATTTTCGCTTGGCATCTTTTCCGGACCATTATGTACCCGATTCCGCTTGGCATCTTTTCCGGACCATTATGTACCCGATTCCGCTTGGCATCTTTTCCAGACCCTCATATACCCGATTTTCGCTTGGCATCTTTTCCGGTCCATTATGTACCCGATTCCACTTGGCATCTTTTCCGTCCCATTATATACCCGATTTTCGCTTGGCATCTTTTCCGGACCATTAAGTACCCGATTTTCGCTTGACATCTTTTCCGGACCATTATGTACCCGATTTTCGCTTGGCATCTTTTCCGGACCATTAAGTACCCGATTTTCGCTTGACATCCTTTCCGGACCATTATGTACCCGATTCCGCTTGGCATCTTTCCGGACTTTGGCCGTCGCTTACTACAAAAGAAATGACGCCAACAGTCTACCCCAGTGAGCAAAATAAAGTGTTCAGTTCGACATTCCAACCACCTGAAGAAGGCCGGAGCGTACAATGTCTGAAACGCTGTAATAAATATGGCGACAAAGATGAGGACAATAGTCTGATTAATGTAAATAGTGTACATAATACCCCATCTCAGAAATATATTACTAGCAGCATAGCCCAGAGTTAACCGTGCTTGATTCAAAAGTCGCACAACTCATACAGCAATCGCTATCGCTTGACTTAAAATATTTTTGCCTTTCCCTGCCTTTAAAGGAGTGCCCTTTGCCGTGCTGATGTTGCTACATGCCTTACTTCTTGCCTATCTCACACTGCCAATTTTTTCTAAGCTCTATACTAAACATTAAATCTGTTAAGAAAAAAAGAACTAAACAAAATGAACACAAAATGATCAGCTTTAAAAAAAGGACTCGTAACTGGAAAACCCGAATGAAAAAAGAATGTTAACAATACTTTTCACACCCAACACAGTTCTGCGGAATCAGAATCAACGTTGAGTTTAAGCAAGCAAGTGAGTCAATTGGAGTAAAGTGCCATGCAGATTTGAATTTTTCCCACTTGTGACGAATGCAGCTATCGATTTTTTTGCATGCTAGCATGCTAGTTAAAATTCGTGTCAGTCAACTGTTGTTTATTTCCGATGTAATTTTCCATTTCCTTAATACATTGCTTAGTTTTCGGAAGGCATCATTCGCTATCCCAGTGCTCTTTTCGATTTCGGTGTCACAATTTCCGTTGTCTCTTATAAATAATATGAGGGACATTTCAATTTTCGCATTTGATTGATGTCCGATTCGTAGCTCGCATCAGGGGTTGAAAACAATCCATTCTATCTCCTCACTTTCCGTCAGCCTAATAGACAATGAATAAATAAATAAAACTCAGAAAGGTGTATAAATATGAGCTCATAACTTTGACGGATTTTATTTTCTATATGACAACGAACGCGGCCATCTTATTTTATCAGAAGACCTGCTGTCGTTTGTGAAACTGAGATTACCCGTCAAAAAACACAAAAAGCAAAAAAATAAAAGTCTTTACAAAGAGATTACAGAGATGATTTATTTTTCCTTCTGGTGAATTCTTCAGCTTAGCTTCTTTAAGAAAAGTAAAATCTGTAGAAAAAAGAATTCCAAGAAAGGTTGTTTTTTTTGAGTTTTGCCAGACGTTCTGATAAATAGAAAATTAAATCTAAGCCCTCTAATCGGAACTTTGAAGGTTTTAAGGAATGTGCCGCTACCTCTTAATTGATGTCAATCCAAATTACATCCTGACCCGGGGTAGTGTTGCTTATTAGGGTTCCAGCTATGGAAAAATAGTGAAACAAAACACTATAATAGTATAAAATTAAATATTCATAATAAAATTACTAACACTACATATCTATAATAAAATTACCGACAATACTTAAATAGTAGAATTGCCAACAATATATTTTTTGGTAAAATGACCACCAATATATTTATACTTGAATTACTAACAATACATTTTATAGCAAAATTAATAGTAATACATTATATAGTACAAATATTAACAATACATTTTATAGCAAAATGACCAATAGTACATTTTTCTAGTAGATTTACTAACAATAAATTTTATAGTAAAATGACCAATGCTACATTTTATAATTGAATTACCAACAATACATTTCATAGCAAAATGACCAACTATACATTTTATAGTAGAATTACCAACAATACATTTTATAGCAAAATGACGAACAATACATTTTATAGTAGAATTACCAACAATACATTTTATAGCAAAATGACCAACAATACATTTTATAGTAAAATGACCAACAATATATTTTATAGTAAAATGACCAATAGTACATTTTATAGTAGAATTACTAACAATACATTTTATAGCAAAATTACCAATCGTACATTTTATAGTAGAATTACTAATACATTTTATAGCAAAATGACCAATAGTACATTTTATAGTAGAATTACCAACAATACATTTTATAGCAAAATGACCAACAATACATTTTATATTAGAATTACCAACAATACATTTTATAGCAAAATAACCAACAATACATTTTATAGTAAAATGACCAACAGTACATTTTATAGTAGAATTACTAACAATACATTTTATAGCAAAATAACCAATAGTACATTTTATAGTAGAATTACCAACAATACATTTTATAGCAAAATGACCAACAATACATTTTATAGTAGAATTACAAACAATAAATTTTATAGCAAAATGACCAACAATACATTTTATAGTAAAATGACCAACAATACATTTTATAGTAAAATGACCAATAGTACATTTTATAGTAGAATTACTAACAATACATTTTATAGCAAAATCACCAATAGTACATTTTATAGTAGAATTACTAATACATTTTATAGCAAAATGACCAATAGTACATTTTATAGTAGAATTACCAACAATACATTTTATAGAAAAAATGACCAACAATACATTTTATAGTAGAATTACCAATAATACATTTTATAGCAAAATGACCAACAATACATTTTATAGTAAAATGACCAACAGTACATTTTATAGTAGAATTACTAACAATACATTTTATAGCAAAATCACCAATAGTACATTTTATAGTAGAATTACTAATAAATTTTATAGCAAAATGACCAATGATACATTTTATAATAAAATTACCAACAATGCATTTTATAGTAAAATGACCAGCTATACATTTTATAGTAAAATTACCAACAATATGTTTTATAGCAAAATGACCAATGATACATTTTATAGTAGAATTGCAAACAATGAATTTTATAGCAAAATTGACCTATGACACATTTTATAGTTGAATTATCAACAGTATATTTTATAGTAAAATGAACAATACATTTTAAATTAGATTTCCTAACAATACATTTTATAGCAAAATGACCAACAATACATTTTATAGTAAAATGACCAACAATACATTTTATAGCAAAAGGACCAATAATACATTTTTCTAGTAGATTTACTAACAATAAATTTTATAGTAAAATGACCAATGCTACATTTTATAATTGAATTACCAACAATACATTTCATAGCAAAATGACCAACTATACATTTTATAGTAGAATTACCAACAATATATTTTATAGCAAAATGACCAACACTACATTTTGTCTGTAGTTGAAGTCGTGCAATTTCTTTGAATATATATTTAGTTGAAGTCATCCTTTCTGTCTTCTCTATTTCACTTATCCTAACAGAAAAGAAATACGAAAGAGAAAGGTGTATAAATATGAGGTTATAAATTTAATACAGTTTGTTTTCTATCTGACATCAAACGCCGCCATCTTATTTTATCAGAGGACATGCTGTCCGTTGTGAAACTGAGATTACCCGTCAAAATTTTTAAAAAATCAACAATAAAGTATTTACAAGCAGATTTAGGGTGCTTTTTTGTTCTTCTTCTTTTGATTTTCTCAGCTTAGCTTGTTTAAGAAGATTAAAATCTGAAGAAAAACATTCTAAGAAAGATCATTCTTTGAGTTTTGCCAGACGTTCCGGTAAATACAAAATAAAAATAAATCCTGTTTCTTAAATTTAAATTTTCAAATATCGGCATTACTGAAAAGTATCTAACCATCTTGAATATCTCAAAACAACCAGTTGCCCGAACTAGATGCGACTTTTTTTTCTAATCCTAGGCACCTGTCACTTTTGAGAAAACTATGAAGTATCAAAGACAATAATTTTGTGCGGAAACTTCATGGTTTTTTGATAAGAATAAAACAATTATGGGAAGGTTTCCCGAAAAATGTTTTCATATACTGAAAATATTTAATCTTGAACCGCAGATAAATCAAAATGTGTACAAATAAGACGTGAAGTAGACATATAAATATATCCTAGGTATGACGATAAACTCCATCCGGCAGCAAAGCCTCTGATCAGGAGATTGGGGGTTTGGAGGAGTATGAAGTCACGTCTTAGTTGCTGTTATTTCTAGGTCCATCCTGACCCAGGATGGTAGCACCTTTAAAGTGCCAAGCTGTGAAAAATAGTGAACACCCAAACAAAAAAAAAAACTATGAAAGTATAAAAATAAATATTTATAGAAAAATTACGAACAAGACATTTTTTTTAAATTACCAGCAATACATTTTATAGTAGAATTGCCAACAATATATTTTATAGAAAATGACTAATAATACATTTTATAGTAAAATGCCCCACAATACATTTTATAGTAAAATGACCAACAATACATTTTATAGCAAAATGACCAACAATACATTTTATAGTAAAATGATCAACAATACATTTTATAGCAAAATGACCAACAATATATTTTATAGTAAAATGATGAACAATACATTTTATAGTAAAATGATCAAAAATACATTTTATAGTAAAA